GTCTGGTAATGCAAGATTTTTTCCTGCAGTCCAAACTATATGTAAGTTTGGAAATTTCATTAGAATTAGTTGAAATCTGTAAACTCGGTGGTTTGGGTTAGATTTTTGTGTAAAGAGAAAGATGATTGGTTTATGGTCTGTGAATAGAACTGTTGGATGTTTTGATCCAAGTATCAGAATTTCATATTCTGTCAGTGTATATATTATGGCTGTACATTCTCTCATTAGAGTTGAGAGTCGTAGCTCTGCTTGAGTGAATAATCGAGAATTTGCTGATATGAGGTTCATTTTATTTGTACCATTATGTGATTGTAATAGTGCTGCACCGATGCCAAAGTTCGAAGCATCGCACATTGCATAAAATGGTTGATTTGAATCTGGAATTGTGTTTGAAATTTGTTCAGTTAAAAGTTTCTTTATTTCTTCAAATCGTGTTTGATGTTCTGTGTTCCATTCAAAATTATTTTGTTGTCTAAGGATGTTATAAAATGGTCGTAGATATAATTGCATTTTATAAACATATTTACTTAAAAAGTTTAACATTCCAAGAAATTCTTGGATTTTCTTTTTATTTGTTGGTGGTTGAAGTTTTTGAATAGCGTCAATGCGTGATTTCAATGGAGTGATTGTTTTTCTTTCTATATTATGTCCTAAGAATTTAACTCTTGTCAAAAAGAAGTGTGATTTATCGGGGGCGGCCTTCAGATTTTCGTTCTGAAGTATTTGGTGATATTTTTCTAAAACATTGAACATCTCGTCTTTTGTTTGTGATTGCATAAAAACATCGTCTAAATAGGTGATTGCGTTTTTCTTGAGTATTAGTGGTCTAAAAATTTTGCTCATAAAAGCTGAAAATGCTGCTGGTCCTATGGATATTCCATAGACTAAGCGGTTGAATTCATATTGTTGGTTTCCGATAACAAATTGTGTTAAACGTCGTGATTGTTCATCTAGTGGCATTTGATTGTATGCACTATTCATATCGGCGGTTGTAAAGTATTTGCCGTTTATTTTTGTTAAAATAACTTGTATTGGTTCAATGGGCCAATTACATTTTGATTCATCTATAAGTGAATTGAGGTATCTAGCATCGAGAACGATTTTTAATGATTCTCCTTTAGCTAGAATGATAACGGGGTTGATGAATGTGTTCCCTTTTGGTTGTTCTTCTTTATTAACTGGTGATATAATGTTGTATTGTTCTAAAATATCGAGTAATCTGTTCACTTTCTCATGTAAGTGAATTGGTACTTTACTTGCTCTCTGTTTTTTGAAAACTGCGTCTGGTTTTAACGGGAGATGTAGTGATGAACTGATTTCTCCAACATCGAATTTTGATGTTGCATAGACTGATGAATATTTAATTAGCTGTTTGGCTAATTTTTCGAATTCGTCTTGTGTTATTTGTGAATGTTGGAAATTAAACATTGTTAAAAATTTTTGTTGGTCCTCTGTGTAGTTACTTATGTTGAATGTAGGTTTGAAATATGGAGTTTTTGTGAAATAATCCGTATTTCTGTTTTCGTTACTTATTATATTATTTATAGATAATTCTTCATTAAGAATTGTAGATTGGCAAATATCTAGTAATTGGAGTATATTATTTACGCGATAGGCTTTTTCGTGTATTGGTGATATTGTAGCGTTGGTTTCACAATATCCTAAAAGTCCTAAAGGTAATGTTACTTGGTAAGGTGTGTTGTTATAGACATGTAAGGAAATGATATCTGAATTCGAATTTTTCAAATATTTTATGGATGAGATTGTGATTTTGAAAAATTTGTGAATAGGTTTGAATTCAAAATCTGACATATAAAATTTTTGTTTGTTTTGTTCTTTATCATATTGGTGAACTTGTTTGATTGAAAAATTATAGATGTTTCCTGATAGTGGTTTCAAGTGTTTTCTTTGTTGGTTAAATATCGGGTAGAATTTTGAAAAAAATGGTGGTTGTTTATTTAATCTTTGAAAAAATGTTAGGGATGTCTCTTTTGTTTTTGTATATTTATCTTTGATTAATATTTTACTATTTAGTATGGTATTACATTATTTAACATGGTATTACTCTTACATAATCTCTTATGTAAGATATCGTACTTATTGCTTGACTTGAGATTGATTGTGGGAAGCTTATAAATGCGGGATGAGACCATTCGGGGTCCCAAACATAATCTGATTGTTCTGTGATAGCGGTATCATCGTTCGAGTTTTGGGGTCTAAAATTTTTTCTTGCTTGTGCAATTAAATCAATATTGTGTGTGAAATAATCTATTATGAACCATGCCAAAATTTTTTGTAGATCGTGTTTTGTATGTTGTGAAACGTCGTCTTTCGTGAAATTTTCTTTAATGATGTTTAAATAACTAGAGAGTAGTGTGATTTCATGTCGTGCTCTTAAATGTTTAGATGTTTCTGTCGGTGAGACATTTGTTATTGGGATTTCATTTTCTAATATCGAAATATAACTATATATTATTGCGAAAACTTCATTGGTGAATATGGAGTTTGCTCTTTGTGAGTTATGATATTGGATGCTTTTTATATATTCTGAAAAAACTTTTGAAAATTCTAAATCAAGATCGTCTGTTTGGATTGTATATTTTCTATGATTATGGTTTGGTGAGGTGAATTCTATGGAGTAGATTCCATACTGTTGTGTTATGTTGCATATATCTTTTAAGTAGTGGTCTATGATTTGTCTTTTGATTTTTACATCTGGGAACTCTGTTTTACATGGACTGATTCCGGGTTCAAATAAATTTAATAGTAAATTTTTGCAAAATATATGCTGTCCTCTATCAGTGGTTGCATCTACTATAAAAGGAAAGATTTCGTCATCATCTGGGGTTTCGTCACCTGGGGTGTGCGTTGAGCTCATTTTTTCTTTCGATGACTGTTAATATGTAATTATTAATGTGTCGAATTGGTTGATTCCAATTGTATAAATGTACTGGTTTGTGTTTATACTGCTTTTTTATTCTTCTTTTTCCTCTTTTTGATGAATTTGAAGTTGTTTCTGAGTCAGAAAAATATAATTGATCGTGAAGTGGGCAATTTTTATCTATTGATTCTTTTAGTTTGTAAAGTTCGTCTAAACTGTTGGTTTCTGATTCTGAAAATGCGTTTCGATTTTTTGAAAATCTTTTTCGTGTTATTTGTCTTTGTTTCGTTATTATTTTTCTTTTTAGTGTTTGTCGTTTTGTTCGAATGTATCCAACTGTTTGTGTATGAGGTGTGATTACAAGGTCGTATTTTTTGTTATCTATTTCACAATTGTGTAAAACGATTGTTTGTTTATTTCCTAGGTTTTTAAATGACATAAGGTTTAGGATGACGGATGCAAAAGGTTGTTAAATGGTTTCTATTTTCCTAAACTGTTAGTTCTTACGATTTTTTGGTTAGTTTAACCTGGGTCTATTTGTTCAGGGTTGGAGAGAAAAGTATATCGATTCCGTAGAATGATTTTTTACTTTCTCGTGGCTAGTATAAGTTAAGGTGTTAACTTACTTAATCTTACTTAGGGGTAGTGATTGTGTTCAAGGGTTGGAGAATAGTAAATCGATCCACAGGGTTCAGGTATAATTAGAACGCGAGTAGTTCGTTAGATACTATTTTAAACTTACTAAGTCTAAGATTTATCCTGGGTCTGGTAAGAGGGGGGGTCAAGTGAAGGATGAATAACCGAAGTTCTTCACTGTTTATCCTAATTTGAATGATTAGTTTTGTTTAAAAATTTCTATTAGTCTTAGGTCTTTAGAAAGGGTTGGGTAGTGAATCGACGTTTGAGGTCGTTAGACACTAATTAAGTGGGTGGAGGAGAACAAAGTTGTTCTGTTTGATCCAAGGATAAGCCTTGATGATCAAATTTGAAATTTAATTAAGTAGAAAATGATTTAAGATCCAAGGATAAGCCTTGATGATCTGGTTTTAAAATTAAGTGAATTTAAGTTTTAATAAAATTTTAAATGTGTGTAAAGGAAAGATTTAGTGTTTTGATGATATTAGTGGGTTTATGATTGCTGTTATGTTTTAGGTGATGGAGCTGGAACAACAGGATGATTTATGATTACTAACCATTTATTGTCATGCTACTAATTTTTATTTTTTATTTTTCAATAAATATTTTTCAAACATGTTTTGTATATTACTGCAGAGTTTTAGGAAAACGATCTTAGATCTTTTTATCAATCGTTATTGTATATTAATAATTTTGTTTAGCGCCTGAAATGATTTTGAACATTGACTTCAAAATTTATGTTTGCAAATGAAAATCTAAATTCATTGCCAGTAGTATTCTAAATATAAAAGTTTGTTCTGGTTTTTGCCTAACTATCATATAGCTATATGGTAAGTTTCTACTTTGTCGTATGTCGTCTCTGGTTCGAGGTCTTCTTCCAATTCCGGGTAGTTCTGTTATGGTTCGGAATATTGGCTCTGATCTATTGAGTCGTAGAGACATTTCGATTAAATTATTGTCGTATAACATTTTGTAAATGTTTTTGTCTAATTTCTAATCTATTTTGGTTAATTCTAAGCTATTAAGGTCTTGTTCGAGACTTATGGTCGCACCAGATGAGTTATGTATGTTGTCTATAACTCATAGAGTAATTTCGGATAGGGTACACCGTCTGCTCGTCACGCTATCTTATTTTCGGCCGGATAGATTCGTGCAACTTCTTAGTCTAATACCGATCCTAATCTTACTCTTATACTATCTAGTCTCAGGTTGTTTAACTAGTCTCTGCTAGGCTCAATAGATCTAGGGTATACTGGTTTATTGCGGCAGCTGAAGTGCTCGGGAGAGTCCAACTATTTTCTAAGTTAAATTCAAATCTCTCTGGTGCTGAAATTACAAGTAACTTCAGCACTTACAAATAAGTGGGTTGTTAGTTAGATGGGTCATGATTGGTTAATATTAAATACTTTACATTGGTAAAATATCTAATTTATCCAATCATAAAATGTAGTTTAGATCAGGTTCCACTTGTTATGTCATTTAGTGGACTGACTCCGGCCACGACGTACAATGGAGCCATAGACACATACTACACATGTCCCAGTACAGACTGTGGAACTGTGACCGACTGTACCCAGAAGAGCACCGACACCCTATTTGTCACCAGCATGTTCTCCACACGTAAGAGTCGTCATCCAATTATTTCCGACACCCCTCCCTCTCCCCTTTAGGGGAAAGAGGGGATTCGTTACTAGGTACAATATTTGTAAAAGCTCATCCACCATTGGGGCAGTCCTTTGTAATTATATTGCTTTATTTTTTTTACTTCGTTGGTTGTTACTATTGCGAGGACCGCTTAAGTGACACGAGTCGCCATAGTATCAGCATAGCTAACAGTTAAAAGTTCCAGCATAGCTAATAAGAACTAGAGCAATAAAGCTAGCCAAGGTGAAAACCAACCGGAAACGAGCATACGGGGAGCGTTCAAATCAAGGGTCCGTTCAATAAACCGAAGTGTCAGTAATTTAACCGATCAGTCAAACTATTTTCGTTTAATTACATTAGAGCGATTTTTTGTAAAGTGTCATTTATGGTATCTGGTACTAGTTTTTATCGGCCTACTTTGTAAAGCATGGATTTTGTTTTGATTCCAAGTTTTTTTACTATGATTGAAAGTTCTGTAGTTTTTCATTTTACCAAGAAATGGTTTGGGCTGAGCTGATGTTGTATCGGTTTAGTCAGCTTATTTTGTGTAGTTTTGAAGACCAAAAAGTTCCCGTTTGACAAAATTTAGTTATTACTAAAATGTATGGGATTGGGGTTTTTTATCAACTTTTTTGAAACTCTTTCGATTTTTTTTCTCCATTTTGCAAACATTTTAGCTCAGTAGAAAACTACTCTACCGAATTTCGAAAAAGGCGTATCAGCATTAGTTACAGCATTAGTTGTTGATTGGTGTTTGTGATTGTTCAGCTCCTGACCAGCCGAGTATTGTGGCGACTGAGATTGACTCGGCCACTGGTGCCACACAGTTGCAGATTGAGTGGGAGCCAAACACGAATGACGTCATAACCTACAGCGCCAATTACAAATGGAGGGTAAGAGATTAGAGAATATTAGCATCTCTCCTTTCATTCCTGCAGCTATATGAGAGAATAGGATTTGAAACATGATGAATTTACAGTTGCAACAAGTAAGTGTTCAAGCGAAAATGCACGGTCCACAAGATCTTAGTATTGACCTCAAAAAGCCCGAGTCGAAGAAACTTAAACCGATGTCAAAATCGAAACATAATCGAACACAAAAAGTTCTACAACGCATATATAATAAAAGTTGAAAAGGCAATAATTTTGATGAATGTCACATTTTTAATTTTGCTTATTTGCAGCTATCGATGGTTAAACGAATAAGCTCGCGGTCGGTCAAATTAATTGGCACTTAAAAACTTCAATTTTTGCACGACCTCTGAAAGTGGGAAGGAAGTTTTCTTCGGGTCTGTTTTAGTTTTTTTCCTATTTGCTTTTTTTAGGTGTCACAGATAAATTTCAGAATAGGTTCAGTGATATATCTTTTTAAAGCCCTTTTCTATACCCAATCTCAACCTAAAATCAGAGAAGTGTTATTAGGAATTAGAAAAAAAAAATTAAATTTCGGGCGTGACTTTGTCGAAATGCCCAAATTTTCCGCGATAACAGTTATTTAGGCGAATATCACTTTTTTAAGTTTGCTCATACAGCAACTATCGATGGTTAAACATGTAAAAGGCACGAGGTCGATCAATGTCGATGAACGTAGTTCAGACTCTTAAATAGGTCTTGATAATTTTCTATTTTCGTTTTTTTTTTCAGAAAGTCTTAAAATTTGTTCAGGCTTATATTTACCTTTGACCAGTTTTGTTCTAGTTTCCTTAAATTAGGTTAATTGATTCAAAAATGTGTCAATTGAAAAATGTTCTAGAAATCTAAAAAGTGTCAAGGCCATTTACTTTTTTCTTCGAAATTTGACAGTTGAGATTTTGAAGAAAAAAACAGATTTTTTCTGTTTACTTGCGTTCATGGACTTCTTTCTAACGATTTGTTCGTTAGCTTTGTATTTGGCAATGAAAATTTGATTTTTTTTCCGACTACTGAAATTGGGAGAAATTTTTTCTTAGATATCACAATTGTTTTTTAAGATATCACGAATAAACTTCCTAATGATTCTAGTGATATGTTGAAGACTTTTCAGTTGTGATTCGAACGACACAAAAAGTTTCCGAAAGTGAGCGCGTGGGTGTTATAAAAGGTAAATCATTGTGGCCATATGCCTAATTTTACTTCAAAAAACTTGGTTTCAATTTTTGGCGCTGAATTCTATGTGCAAAATTTTGCCGCTGAAAATTCCATGTGCAATAAAATAGTTATATGGTCGAACACAAAATTAAAGAAGACTTGCCACTAATAAAAAAAAGTAATCAGATAAAGGACATTTTTTTGAAATTTGGAAATTCGTTGTTTTGACTTGAAACAAAAAGAAAATTTGTCGGAAAACCCGAAACACAATCGAAACATACTCGAACAGAGTAAAAGAGTTGCTTGTAAAATGGTCGAATTTCGTTGGTTTTTTTTGTTGTGGTTTTTCAGTTCGAAACAAGGGGATTTCTCTCTCAAAGTTCGAAAGACATCCGAATGTTTTTGCATATTGCACAATCACAGCATAGCTGCCAGTTGCACATGTTGGAAAAAGATCAGTTTTCTTTGAAATTGTCAACGCGGGGGCTGCAATGCAATTTTTATGTGCGCGTTCCATTTTGAAATAGATTTAGGGTTATTTTTTGTTTGCAATTTTTGTTGTGGGGAAGACAAATTCTCCTCTTCGTTTTTTGGTTCGTGATGTAATTTCGGCAGCGTTAATAATTCCTGTCTTCTGCTTTCAATTGCATCTTATACACGTAATTTAGCTAGCGTAGTGTAATAGTATGACTCGAGTTTTTTTCCAATCCAGTTTGCAAATAAATGCGCTCATTTTGTCGAACTTTTTCTGTAATCACGATATGTAGCATTGGAAATTTCAAAGCATTTGTTTCTCTCCTTTATTCATTGCTATTGCGCTGCTCGACAAGCGACCGTGGCTTTGAGGGAATAGAGAGAGCCGTTTATTCTACAAATATCACGGGATGCTAAGGTTTCACAGCCTAAATTAAGCTCAAATAAGCAATTGTAAGCCTGCACGCTAACCTTAATAGCTAAAATTTAGACCAAAACTCAAAAAATTCCAACCAATTTTTCTCGACACAAAACTTTTTGAAATTTTTTAATTTGAGCGAGGAAAACAAAAAGAACAAACACCCAGATACAAAGTTCTTCCGCATCTTTAAAATGGTCGGAACAAAAAATTGAGATTCTTAGGCTTATGGTCGGAGATTCAATTTCGAATTTTGCCCTAATTTTATCTATATTTGGTGATAAGTTTTGTCGCGTAGCATTGGCAGTTTTTTTAGCACTAGTAGCTGCTTTCTTATGTCTAGTGTTACCTTATTTTTAAATGGCCCGTGGCGCTCATGAGCAGAACAACAGACTCCGAATCTCGAGATCGCATGTTTAAATCCGACACAAACCAAAAGTCTTGAAAATTCCGGGCTCATTCCTATTTTTTAAATTCACAAGAGCTGGCTTTGTTGTTTTTTCGTTTGTGTTTGTTCAGTGCAGCTTATTAAGTGTTTTCTTAATTGTGTGTATTCTGTCTACTGCTTGTTAAGTCTTCTCATGTCTTCTGCTTATGATCATGCACTTGATATTGAACCTACAGTAATTTTGATGTAAACTAACCAAGTCGAGCGAATCAAATTTTTCTTGGTTAAAATGAGATTTTTTCGTTGATTTTAGTCCGTCGGTTATCTTAAATTTCCAGGTAGTCTCTGTGAATAATTTGTCAATGAACCATTATTTATCTATACGTTTTTTGACTGGACACTCATACGTTGTTCCGATGTTTTTTACTTTTTGTTCCGAATATTTCTAAGTTAAAGGCTTTCGTTCGGATGCTTTCATTAACACCACGAATAAAAAAAAACGAGTTAAAAAAGAACTTATAGAAGAACTGTGATTTAAATTATTTGGACAAAACAAATAAAATTTAAAAACGCGTTTTTCTCAATTTTGGTTGACTTTTGACAAAAAAGTAATGAAGACCAACTTTGATTTGATTTTTCGCAGAAATAATATGGTGCAATTTGTTTTGCAAAAATCAGGCCTTAATGTTTGCCCCAAATGTTCTTTATTGGATCAATTAATGATAAAAGTATATGAAAATGAGCTTCTTATGTAGCCCAAGAGAAGGTATAGTTTTTTAAAAATTGGGGAATTGGTTTAAAATTATTTTCAATAAAAAGAAAACTGGTATTTAATATAGTAAAAATGACAATGAAGTTTTGTCCTCGTCATTTTTCGTTTGAGAAAATAGCATTTTAAATTTCTATTCATAGTCATTTTGTCCAGATAATTTAAATCAGCTTTGTATATGGGTCGGAGTTTTCTCTGCTACTTGAACAGCAACCGGCTATCTTTTTTAATTTTTCGTTTTGGTTGAGATCTGTCTGGTTCAAAATAATTAGTACGTGACCATTTAAGAGAGAAAGACAATTTATATTTTTGTCAGATTTTTTTTACAAATTCGGCGTTTCAATTTGACACTAAACAGCTATATATTCACGCGCGTATCTGTTCACATCAATCTGTTCACCCGGGTTGACCAAAACTTCTTATCATACAATTTCCATATATGAGAAACTTCTTGTCATACAATTTCATACAATTCCATACGTACAGAAAATTGTATGAAAACTCTATGATAAGCATTTTTCCATATATGAAAATTGTATGATAGGTGTTTTTCCATAAACCAAAAATTTTGATATTTTCTTTCTAAATTTAGTTCCTGAAAAATTGTCGGTTGTGTTTGCAACCAAACACAAGTGACAAAGACCTTGGTTACTCAAAACACCAAAGGTTGGACGTTCTTGCATTTACAATGCATAGAAAACGACCTGAATTTGGCTGTCTTTCACAATTCATATAACAAAAAAAAACTTTTATTTTTTGGCAAAAATTTTTCATGATGATTATTTTAAATTTTTGAATTTTCAAATTATCAGACATTGATCAAGGCATTCAATAACACCCCATACAAAAGAAATAGGAATATTCAGCGTTTTTGAAAAAAAACTTAAGTGAAAAGAACATAAAAGCCAATTTTATCGTATCCAGAATATTAAATTTTGCATGCAAAGAATTTTTTTTTCGAAAAAGGTTTGTTTGCGTACAAAATTCGACTTGCGGTTGAAAAAAAACAATAAAATTTTTGGGCCAAATTTTAAAAGTTACTTGAAACATTTTTTGTGTCTCCATCAAAAAAATGCCAGTCATACAATTTCCACGAAAACCTCAGTTTTTTATCACCAGACTGTTTTATTAGAATCAAACAGCCACACAAATCAGTTTATACCAGTTTTCAACCGTTTTTAGAAATTGTATGACAAGCATTTTTCCACACACTTGATGTATGGAATTGTATGATAAGCAATTCGGTGTATGGAGGTCAACCCGGGCACACAGACATATTTTCACACATGCTCATAGCTGCTAATTGTATGGTTGTTTTAATGTTACAATAGATCACGAGGAGCGACGACGGCGGAAACACGTACGCAACAGTCTTGAGTGATGTGGCATCGACTACCAAGTACCACTTCGACAGCAATCTCTCGCCGGCAACAATGTATTACTACCAAGTGCAAAGCTCCTACTACGGCGGCGGCTCCAATGAATCAAACCCGGACACCGCCTGCACCTGTTAGTAGAAATGGCAAATTTCAACAATCGCGGATGAAGTCTAGAGTGCCAAGTAAACAACAGCTATACAGCTATAGGCGATCCCAATTTTCGAAACTGGTGTATAAAGACAAATTGGATTAATGGGAGTGGGTGGGGTGGGCACGGGGGTTTAGGAGCAAGAGTTAGCTCAACGGATACTTGAGCCGTTTAGTATAACCAACTCAAGTTAGGTGTCAATTGCATTAAATTATTCGCCAGATTCCCTGAAGAATTTAGATCACCAAAACTTCTTATAACAAAAAACTCGTTACGCAGATTTCATTGTGAAAATTTACCAAAAATTAACTCTTAGAAGCTTAATGCTTAAGAGGTATGGACAATTCACTGAACTCTTCAAAATTTTCCAAAACCCTCCAAAAAGCTCAAAAATGGTGTCAATTGCATTAATTTATTCGCCAGATTCCCTGAAGAATTTAGATTACCAAAACTTGTAATAACAAAAAATTCGTTTCGCAGATTTCATTGTGAAAAATTACCAAAAATTCACTCTCAGAAGCTTAATGCTTAGAAGATATGGACAATTCACTGAACTTTTCAAATTGTTCCAAAACCCTCCAAAAAGCTCAAAAATGGTGTCAATTGCATTAAATTATTCGCCAGATTCCCTGAAGAATTTAGATTACCAAAACTTGTAATAACAAGAAATTCGTTTCGCAGATTTCATTGTGAAAAAAGGGGTGTTGGTTAGAGTTGCGACTTTTATGTCTAAAGTTGGCCTGTAAACTAAAGATATTGAACGTTTTACTTGTCTTTCAAATGTTCTAAAAGCGTAGAAAAAATTCGCAAGCCGATTCACTCTATGAAAAGAATTGAATTTATTCAAAGGTTTATCGCTTATGTAGCTTGCTTAGGAAAAACTCAGTTATTTGTGAACCAATTCTTTTTGAAATAAATCAGATTTTCATGGCTTGATTTTTTTGATTTAAAAATGTAAGATTTCGCGATTCAGCCCGCTCCATGAAATTGCTTGAATTATTTCAAATTTACGTCATTTGAATAGCCTGCTTGAAAAGAGTTTTATTGTTTTATGAAGTGACCTAAAATTTTTATTTGATAAAAACAGGTGTTTCGAAATTGTATGGGATTGTTTTTTTTATTATTTGTTTTTTTAGACGGTTTGGAAAGTTTTATGCATTATTATTTCAAAAATTTAGCTTTTCTCAAAAACTACTCTACCGATTTTCAAAAAAAGTGGCACCAATGGGAATTCCGCTCAATCCCCTGTGTGTGTGCATACTTTCCATTTTTTTTTCGTAACACAACTTTCTACAGCCTTCGAAAGAGTGTGTGTGTGTGTGTGTGTGTGTGTGTGTGTGTGTGTGTGTGTGTGTGTGTGTGTGAAGGTGGAGAATTACGCCTAAATGTTTTTACACAAAAACTTATGACTCTCCGAAAATGCAAATTGTTGAGTTTTTGATCCTACTTCTCTCGAAAACCACACTCCTAATTCTGAGATTATAGTTTCAAATCGAAAGGACTTGTTGTGGAGAGCTCTCCTGCTGAAGAGGTTACGCTCCATTTTTATCACACAAAAAGTTATCCACTCCAATAATCAATTTTTTTGACTTTTTGACCGTTTTTTGAAAAGTTTTAGCTTTTCTCGGAAACTACCCTCACAGTTCTGAGATTATAGTTTCAATCGAAAGGACGTGGGTTGAGGAGCTCCCGTGGAGAAGCGTTTACGACCAAAATTTTTCACACAACAAGTTACGACCCTCGGAAAAGTCAAATTTACGATTTTTTTGACCATTTATTGAAACTTCTCGACTTTTCTCGAAAACCACACTCCCATCTCTGAGGTCTTTGTTTCAATGCGTAAAACGGGTTGTGGGAAGCTCGCCTGCAGAAAATTTATGACCTTCGGAAAAGTCAAATTTACGATTTTTTTTTCGTTTTCTTAAATGTGTTGACTTTTCTCGAAAACTATCCTCTCAAATCTGACGTTTCGGATCCAATGAGTAGAACGGGTTATGCGGCTAAGTCCATATGTTTCCTCAAAAATAATGGCCCTCGGTAAAAACTATTTCAGTTTTTTTTTACCGTTTTTTGAAATTTTTCGATTTTCTCGAAGGTTATCCTGCCAACCCGAACTTGAAAAAAAAATTTAATTCCTAGTTGTTTTATAAGAGAATCAACTAAGTTTTTCGGTGAAGCCCAGATTTTGAATTTACCCTTGTCCTTCCGCGTCAGTACAAAAAATTCAATTATTATCATTAGGTATTTCCAGCTTTAGCTGTCCTATAGTTTTTCGAATTTTCTTTTGATTGAAAAGCTTACTAAAAAACCTTTTTCTTTGCAAATCGAATTCCTCTACGAATTAATTTGAAATAGTGTGAATAGCTTGCTTAGAAATTTTTTTTTCAAATCGTTGGCTCATACAGCCAAAGTCTTAAAGTTTGCTCAGACTCAACGTTGATTTTTCGCGGGTTGATTTTTGATTTCCTTTTCAATTCAGCTCAGGTTTTTGATAGAAGGAAGACGCACTCCACTATCGAACAGCAAAATTGTAAAGGCCACGAAAAACGTGATTGACTTCTAGTTTCGAAAATGGATTTAAATTTTTCAGATTTCACAGCGGAATAAAAAAAATACGCACTGATCCGTTTTTCTCCACTCGTGATAGATTTTATTTAAGAAGTCTGCTCATAAAGTGTTTTGGAAAGTCAAAGATTCTTAAGGACATAAAATTTATTCTTTGAAATTCGAAGCTTTTTATCTTGCGTTCATTGACTGCTTTTGACTATGTTTTAAAAGGTAAGTTCTTTTGCTGTGTGTTTCAGATCCGACTTCTCCTGAGAACCTGCAGATCAACACCATCAACTCCACGCACCTCGAATGCTCCTGGGCATCCCCCACTGGCAACGGAGACCAGGTACTAGCTAACAACTAACCCTTCAAGTTTATTTTTCCAAATATTGTAAATGATTCCACATAATTTTGCTATCTTGCTGGCGGGCAGCCTTCAGCAGTCCTCTCGATTACTTTTCAGTTTTCCCAACATGAAATTTAATTGCAAATTTTTATTTTGTTTCATTTTTTTGGTTTGAACATTTTGTTTTAACAAAGTTAATTAGCAATGGTAATGATAATTTAACTAAATATATAAATAACTGCACCTCTGAATATAAATTTTCAAAATTTTGATCGATCTAAAACGTATTAGGACTTTTTTCTACTCCTTGTTTAGTTGGCACTGTATTTTTTGGAAGCTTGCCTTTCAGGCTCATTTTCCAAATGAACGAAAACTGAGCTCCCCTTGATTGACTTATTCGTTGCTTTTATTTAAAAGCCTAAATAGTTTTTTCGAAAATTAAATTCAATTTTGAGAAAACTTTGATTTTTTGACCAAGTTAACTCACAGATTAAGTTAATTTTATCAAAATCATTTGATGGTAAAACTTTGATAATTTTATGTTAGAATATTTTTAAGGCGATGAATTTTTGTTCGATTTGAACAGGTAAAAGTCTTAAAACTTTTTCACGCTCAAATTTTATTTCAAATATCTGTTCATTTCTTTTGTTAGAAGGAAGGCAAACTCCACGATGCAACATCAAAGATGTTATATTCATGAAACACCTGAATGACTTCTAGCTTAGAAAGTGGATTTCAATTTTCAGATTTCACAGTGGAATAAATAAATTACCTATTGATCCAGTTAAGACAACTTTGATCCAGTTAATTTGTATCAAAAATTTCAAACAGAAATTGTTCATGGAATTCAAAGGGCCTTAAGGCCATATGTGTTCTTCGAAAATCCCATTTTGCCAAAAAATCACAATTTTTCCGTTTTTCTTCGTTGACTCCTTTCCTGTTGTTTGTTGACTATGCTTATATCTGTCGGGTCTTTGCTTTGAATTAATTCAAATTGTGTCTGTGAAAAAAGCTTGCTTAAAATGAAATAAGTTTCTGCGTTGTTTTTGTTGCAACAAAATCGAAAAGGTCGAATGTGTTCTAAAAATTTTTCCTTGCACAAGCTAGCTCGCAAAATATTTTTTTTTCCAGCGTAAGTTGTATATTTTAGTGCAAAAAAGGTTCAAATAATAGCTTTTGATGGACTGAGCTCAATTGTAAAATCAAATTATCATTACGATATTTTTTTCGTTAAATTTCAGTGGTCTCAAAATAAGAATTTGGTCATTTTGCTGAACAAAAATACGCACAAAGCGTAAAATCGATGTTTTTGAGCGCGGCCAATGAACAATAGTGTGCTTAAGAGTGAACAATCTTAGGAACGATGTAACTTGTAAAAGTAAGGAATTCGTGGTCGGGACTCTCGATAAGTGTGAGTATCGATCCGGAAATCTTTGGATTGCCAAGCGATTTCGCTGGCACTTGAGTAAATTGCGGATGTCAACGCTGCTCGAATAATATTTTGATGGTTTCAACACGCTATTTATTTGAGCGTGACAAATTTCCCGCTTTTATAATTGTTGCAAATTGGATTGAGGCCAACTTCAATTGGTCTTTTTTTCTCAAATAATAGCACTTGCATATGCTATTGGCAGTATTAAATTAATAGTGTATCAAAAATTTTTGAACAAATTGAACAAAAAGTATTCGAGACAAGTTAAGGAGCGGTCGAAACATTCAGGGCTTCGCCTGATATACAAGCAAGCAGTCTTGTTTTTGCATGCGTTTGCTAAGTACAGCTTCGCTTCTGTGCAACAATTCTAATTATTCGAGGACTATGTTCTTTTTTTTGGGTCTACTCTTTTAAAAAAAATTTTGTTAAGTGTTTTTAAGAGTATAGAAAAATTCATTAGAATCATAACAAAAACCTCCAAAACTTCACGTAATTTTGTTTATCTTATAACTGTGGTTGTAATGTTTCTTTTTTATTATTGATATTCAATTGGTGAAAAACCATTGCTTTAAATATAGTTCAATTTTGCAGCAATAATTTTTTTTTGCGAATGTTTGAACTATCCGAATAAGCGTCACTTTAAGCTGTAGGGGGAGCAATGAGAAATCACCGAGGATTTTGCCGTTCAAACGTAAGTTCGGGGATTCAAAATTTATCATGATGCGTGCTCGTTGCCTGTGGATGACAAAACGTTTCTCAGCGCAGAAACAAAACCAAAAACTGCGTGTAATTCTTAAGCAGGACACCATAGCAGATAAGAACAGTTCATATTTCGCTCCTTAACCTCTACGATAAATGGCTTTGCTACAACCATCTGAATTGACACCAATGTTTTGTTAAACTAGGTAGCGGGGTTCGAAGTGGCCTACAACAACCTGGGTGGATTGTTCGTGTCCAAGGAGAGCACTAGCAATGTCACTTTCATCAATGACCCTGCATTTGCTACCAAAGTCATCCAGGATGGACCCAATACCTGCTACGTGCGCACAGTGTTAGTAAATATACTTTTTGTTCATTTTTCAAAACTAAACTTACCGCAAATTTGCTGCAAGATACAGATTGCGCATCTAAAAAAATCAGTGACCATTTTTTATGCTTTTTAAGTAAACATTATTACACTTGCGAAGCAAAGTGTAATAGTACGAACTTTTTTTTCCAACTCAATTCGCAAATATTGGTGCCACTTTTGGGGCACCTTTACAGCTTAATGATAGCATGTGCTTTGGCATTCGAAAAGCAATAAGTTTACACAGTTGATGCATTTTACTTCGTCAAATGAACCAAAAAAAACTATTTGTTTCAAACAACATAACAATCATAAAATCTCGATTTCAGAATTTTTTAAACTCAATATATCGCAATTTTTTGGCATAATTTATACATAATGTGGTTTTGTTCTTTGCTATTTATTTCATGCAAAATTGTGCCTTTTCTATTTGGTTGTACTTTTGCTGCATCGAATTGGCAATTAGTTGCCATATATAGCTGCGTTATTGGTGCTGAGTTTTTGTGGATCTCGAGCATCCGTGACTGAGTGGTTAGTGCGTTAGACTCAAATTTGTTAGGTCGCAGATTGGAATCCGACACGTAGCCGAGTTTTTGCCAATTCGAGGCTTATTTCTACATTTATTTATTTGTCACTTGATAGAGCTGGTTTTTGGTCGTGTTCTCTCTAATTTTTGGCAGCTTCGCCTCTTTGTTAAAAGAAGTGTGAAACAATAGCTATAAGCAATGAAGACCTCAACCCTAACAATTGCTTGGTTTAATTATTTCCTTTGGGCTAGTTAATTAAAATTTTGTTGCGAGGATAGTTCAGCCTAAGACAAATTGGTCACCTAGTTTTGATAGAAAATTAACTAAAATAGAATGTATTTATAATTGTTCGATGACCAAATTTTAAGTGTAAAAGAACGAAGTGATTGTCTATAATGTAGGTCGTGATGATCGTTTTCCATTTGCTTCCGCTCAAATTTGATTTTTCTCGAACCTTTTTTGTCGTAAACACTTTTGGTATATTTTAAGGTTCGACTTTTGACTTCCTTACAGACGCGGAGCGTAGTGCAATACTACGAAACAACTTTTTTATCAACCTCAAAAAAAAGTCGTAAATTTAAATTTTCAATTGGTGACATTTTTCGTATATTTCCGACCCCAGGCTTTTTAATAGCATCTCTTGCTGCTCAAGTGGTGGCTAATATTTGCTTACTTTGCAGCGAGCGTACAGATGCCTTGTCTTTGGATCGGAGGTTTGATTCCGGGACATAGCAATTGATTTTTCAACAAGTATTTTAGTTTCAATTTTCTCCGTATCACTTTGTTTATACACTTACGAGCTTGCGAGAGTTAGTGTATTAGTATGAAGCTTTTTTCTAGTCTTACTTGCAAATAAGAGTGTTCCCTTATATGGAAAATTCACTGTAGCATTGGAAATTGCTTAGCATTTGTTCTCTGCTTTATTTGTGGCTAGTGTTTGGTATATTTTAAGCATCCGTGGCTGAGTGGTTACTTTGTGAGATTAATAATCTGTAGAGTCGCGGTAGGTCGTAGGTTTGAATCCGAGATGTGACCGAATTTTTACTACTTCGATTCTTATTTCAATTTTTTTCTTATTGCATTTTATATAAAGCTTCTTTTTTGTCGTGTTCTTCTTAAGTATTTGCGAAGCACAGCTTCGCCTGTGTTCTGACTTTTTAGAGCTAATTTGTGTTTTTTTTCTCGCTTTTGGTTGCAAAGTGCAGCTTGCAAAGTCTTGAACTTAGTTCATTTCATTTCTTAAATGGAAGGTAAATTTCATTATCGGACATTTAAAGTTTAAAGGTCATGAAAAACGTGGATGGCTTATAGTTTCAAAAAGCGACGTGAGTTTACTGAGTTACCATCGCATGAAAAGTTCCTCATTAACAACCTTAAAGAAGAAAGCCAATTAAGAAATTTCTTGAATTTCAAAGAGCTCTAACGTGATATTTTTTGTCAGTATCCCAAATCTGAAAAGTTTTTCTAGATTTGAAAAACAATATTACCCTTTTTTTTCGGTTCCCTCGATTTCTTTTTGCAGTTTTTGAACCAACTGTTGACTATGTATAGGACTCGATGAAAAAGTCTCTGACTTTCACATAGGTCGGTGATTTTCCCCATTTTTTTCAGGCTCAAATTTACTTGTTTTGCGGTTTGACTTCTGGTTTTTTTTTTAAGTTCAGTTCGTTTCTTTAGAGGAAGACAAACGGAAGATAAACTTCACTATTGGAAAGCAAAAATGTACAGTTCACGAAAAACGCGTTCGAGTTCTAATTTGAAAAGTGGAACTAACTTTTCAGATTTCCCAGAAAAAAAATTACCTATCGATCCAGTTTTTTTTTCAAATTGATTTAATTTTAGCAAAAAAGGGTCGGTCATATTTTGTCAATGAAGTTTGAAGGGCTACAAAGCCATCTATTTTTTCGCAAACCGAAGGTTGAGATTTTTTCAAAAACAAATCAGTATTTTTCTTCTGTTTACTTTGACTCTTTTGTAACTGTCTGTTGGCTTTGTTTTTCAAAATCAAACACTCCAAATCACATAAACTAATGGTATACTTGTAATTTATGTTTGAAGAACACTACAATTTGGCTTTCTAAGAACGAATTGATATTAAATGTATTTTTTCAAATTTTCTACTTTTCTTGAGATTTTCTTGGCTTAGCAAGTGATTTTGAAATGTTTCTTAAAAATGGTACAGCAGTTTTGTGATAAAATCTGACTGGTCAAATATAGCTGGAAGTGATATTTTTAATTAACAAAATTTTAATCCCAACTTTGCCAGATAATTCGCAGTGTTGAAGTAATTTTTAGTTTTTTTTTTATTTCAACCATAACTCAATTCGAGAAAACCGTGACTCATTTTTACAAAATTTCAGCCGAAAATATGCTTTTTTTGTTAATTATTGGTTTTCGGCGGCAAATCGCATCTAAAGGTTTAGGGTGCTTGACCTTAACTTGATGTTGTAAATTAGTAGGTAAAGGGGGTCCCTTTGGGTGGGCGAGAACTACGGGAGTGGGCGATCAGAGTTGGATTTTCCTTGGCCTACTTGAATGTTTACGATGTCTAGTAATGTCTTCAGCTGCATGCTATACTTGTGCTGGCTCCCGTTTATGTTAAAATGTCAGAAACTTAGGCATCAGTCCTGTAATTTTGTTTTTTGGCCCAACCAACTGCTCTCGTTTATGGTGATATGGATTTTGTCCAATTTTTCTCAAACAACAGTGATCAACTAAATCAAACCTTGTGATAAATTGTCAAATTTTTGAAACTTCAGCTATACTTTGTCATACTTCGCTCAAGTTCAAAGTCATGACGTTTGTCCCAAATGTCAAACTACCTCCTTCAAAAAATATCGCCTACCACATCAATATTCTGTTTTGAAAGATTTAAAAGATCTTCCAGTTACCATATTCTTCTGCTAACAACTGATGAGGACCGCTCTGCTTGATGTTGTTAAAACATTCATTCTCTCTAAGTCTGTCGTATTGTAATTATCAATTAGTGAAGAATTTGATTGACCCTCGGAGCTCTAATTGAATTGGCAGATCTGCTGAAACTCAAAAACACAGAATACCCTCAAAATTTAGCCAGGATTACTTTGTCTGTTCATTCAAAGCTCGTCTGTACTCTCGTGTCGCTAATCTCTTGATCAATGTTTCGATGCGTCGAACTCGTTTTTTAATATCTTTTTAAGGTAGGGCCAAATTTTTTCGCACGGTGATTTCGTCATTAGTTAGAAACAAACATGCAACATGCCTGAATAGAAGATGCTTGTGAATTTGTGTTATCCCCAGCTTTGACTGAAAGTTCCTTGTATCTTAAACGATTTTACTATATTGTCTTCAGAAGCATGTTAGGCTGAAGGTGGACCCCATCAATTCGGCGTTTTTTTCTAGCCCAACCAACTACTCTCGATGTTGATTGTATATTTTGTCAAATTTATCGCAGGTATCAGTGGACTAGAAAATCGAACGTATTAACTATATGATAAACTATCAAATTTAAAAACTTCAGCCCTATGCCCTCATCTATGCTCTCATCTGTGCCCTAAAAAACTTCAGCCCTATGCCCTCATCTATGCTCTCATCTATGCCCTAAAAAACTTCAGCTCTACGCTCAAAGTTCAAATTCTTCTTATTTATATGAGTTTTTATTTCACTATGGTTTCAATCTGCTTCTCCACCATCCCCCACCATTGATTTCGATATTAGAGAGTTATTTGTTCCAGTGCCAACTGCACTGACGAGGCAAAAACGCTGAACAGTTCCTGGGCGTCAGTTCAGGGCTACCTGGCACCTCTCACCCCCTCAGTGACGTCAACCTCAGTGTCTGACTCACAGATACAGGTTAGAGTGGTGCCGGACAGCATCAATGCCGACACGATCGGAATGACGGCAACAATCTTCAGGGACGGGGTCGTCATCGGTAGGTTCATTCTTATGCAATACTTTTCTTTATACCAAGTTTGTTGGCAATTTCGGTGACATTTTGTTTCTTAGTAAGTGACTTGATGGTTTTTTTTAGATTTGATATCATAGTTTCTGCGTGTTGAAATCAGTGAAAATCAGTTTTTGACCTTAAAACGACTCTTTAGTAAATTAACAACTGCTTGAAAGATCACAATTTAATCTACAGATCCGTGTTCAAGTTTCTCTGAGCGGTAAAAAAGAGTTGCGTTTTTTTTCTCGACATGAGTTTAGAGCCATGTTTTTTCAGGGACGGAGGGCAGTGGTCATCGGTAGATTCGTAGATTGATTGTTATGTAATGTTAAAACAAAAGGAAAGCAAACAGTAATACAAAGAGCAGTTGACAGATTTCGCTCAAAATCAAATGCTAATTTTTTTAGGCGTTAATCATTTTTGCAAAGATGATCTGATTCATCAAATTTGTTCCAAGTTTTTTTTCATTTTTTTTTCGCTATTTGAAGTCTCGCATAACGTGTTGCGGATTTTCAAAAAAAAAAAATGAAAATGCGCCCTCCCCCACCCCCTTGTCCATATATTGTCCGCTTTGTCGCATTTTTTTTCAAGTTGCGTTTGAATTCTTCGTTTCGTTTTAATTTCAAACATGGTTTTAAAAAAAAAAAAAACAGGCCAAACAAGGCTTTTTAGGCACTTTTGGAAAATTTTGACCAAAAAAAATGCGTTTTTTCTGGGCGCTCCCCCTAAAATTAGTATAGATTGGCGCCAAAGGCACCTTCAGAAAATTTTTAAGGTCAGTCAGCCAAAAATGGATATCTCAAAAATAGTGCAAAGGGGGACCCTTTGTGCGGCAGGGGGTCGAATCCCTAAATCCGCTACTGATCATTAGTCGTTTCTTATTTAATCATTTTAAACTTTTATTAATTCGAAAACCTTGTCCATCTATTGTCCGCTTTGTCGCATTTTTTTTCAAGTTGCGTTTGAATTCTTCGTTTCGTTTTAATTTCAAACATGGTTTTAAAAAAAAAAAAACAGGCCAAAGAAGGCTTTTTAGGCACTTTTGGAAAATTTTGACCAAAAAAAATGCGTTTTTTCTGGGCGCTCCCCCTAAAATTAGTATAGATTGGCGCCAAAGGCACCTTCAGAAAATTTTTAAGGTCAGTCAGCCAAAAATGGATATCTCAAAAATAGTGCAAAGGGGGACCCTTTGTGCGGCAGGGGGTCGAATCCCTAAATCCGCTACTGATCATTAGTCGTTTCTTATTTAATCATTTTAAACTTTTATTAATTCGAAAACCTTGTCCATCTATTGTCTGCTTTGTCGCATTTTTTTTTCGATGTTGCGTTTTAATTCTTCGTTTTGTTTTACTTTCAAACATGGTTGATATGTTTAAAAATGTAGGGATCAAAACAAGTATTTATTGGCGTTTTTTATTGTTTTTTTTTGGATTGAATCTTGATCCTGCTAATTGATAAGTTTTAACCTACAAGGGAATTTATTTAAATTTGTGTCAAAGTTCACTTGAATTTCACGTCAAATTATGCTTCACTGTTCCCACTTTTCATACACTTTTTAAATGTTTCAAATGTTCTTTTTCTGATAAAGAATCAAAGTTGTTGCCAACCTTGTTCTCATGTTTGAGGTACCATAAAAACTTAGACCAGAGAAAAATGACCTTATTATCAAAGTTGAAATTATTTCTTACAGCCGAAGCTATCGGCGCCCCCTGGATCTACCAAGATACTTCGGACCTGGAACCAGGAAAGAGATACACGTACACTGCCATTGTTGAGCAGAACGGGAACCCCTCGTCTGAGTCAATTGGGAAACTGGAGTGCACGAAGCCGGCCCAACCAGACCCGAACAGTATCTACGCTATCTCAAATAATAGCACTGCAATCACTGCCTATTGGACCGTCAGTGAAGGTCAGTTTTTGAAAAAATGAAACTCAATTGTTTCGGCCAAAGCTATCCAAAATTTTCCGCGGCTCATTTTTGGTCCTTGTGTACTTCAGCTGAATCTTGCACGCATGAGCCACTCATTTCATAATCTAGATTGTATTGGACTTTATTTCTGAAAGAAGTTTTCATTAAGAAATAACTATGTCCATTCTGCACTTTTACTTTTTAACGACCTGCTGATAAAAGGTAAGAATCTATTATATATTTAAATGCGGGCTTCACTATTTCGCCATGCTTAAGCTTTTTCAACTTATTATTTTTTGCATGTTTAACAAAAGAATTTTTGCACGTTTAAGCTAAATTTAAGATTTTTTTTTCGATTTTCCAGTTTGAATTCAGTGTTTTTTCACCGACTTTAAAATATGCAGCCCAACAGTGGATGCTGCCAGAATTTCTACAGAAGTTGAGATATTGGCTTCCAATTATGAATGCCCAAATCCTTTTAGTGTACGAGATACGACGATTTTTGTGGTTTAAAAAAAAATGCAGAACACTCAATTTAGAAAACTATTTACAAAAATTGAATTTCACAAACCTGTAGTTGTGTGCTGTCAGACTACACTCAGGGGTTGTCAATCTTGCCTCCAGATCTCACTTCTCAAATCCTTGTAATTTTCGAGATATGACGTTTTTATGATTTTTTCGAAAAATTTCAAAAAAACTTTGATTTTAAAAAATTCCAAACTTGGAAGATCTCAATCCTGTTGTTGGAAACTGTGAGAGTACTCTCAGGGGTTTAGACTCTTGCCTCTGAATATGACTGCGCAAATCCTTGTAGTTTTCCAGATTTGACGTTTTTTAACATTTTTTCAAAATTTTTCAGAGAAAAGAGATAAAAAATTTCAAAAAATTTGAAGATCCCATCTCTATATTGAGTCTCTGTTACCGTACTCTCAGGCTTTGCAATTTTTTCCTCCAAAAATGACTGCTCAAAATTTTGTAGTTTTCCAGATATGACGTTTTTTTGTGATTTGAAAAAATCTTTCAGAAAACTCAAACTTAATTCTTTTTTCTTAAAAGTTTGAAATTCGCAATTTGTAGTGGTGGCTGTCGCAGTATTCTCAGGTTCTCAGAGGTTGCGAATCTTACCTCCAAATATGAGTCCTCGATTCTTGTTAGTTTTTCAGATATGACGTTTTGGTGATTTCCGAAAACTTAAATTGAAGCTCTTTTTTCATGACATATTTCCCAACGTTGTATTTGGAACTGCTAACCTGTATTTGAGGCTCTCAGAGTAATCTCAGGGGTTGTGAATTCAGCGTCCAATTAGGAATACCCAAACCTTTTTAGTCTTTGAGATATGATTTTTGTGATTTTTTTCAGAAATTTTCAGGAAACTCAAATTATAAAATAATTCACAAATTTGAAATTCCCAACCCTGTAGTTTTGCGCTGTCAGAGTACTGTCAACGATTGTGAATATTGCCTTCAACGAAGACTGCTCAAATTGTGGTAGTTTTCGAGATGTGACATTTCATCTGTTTCTCAAAAATTATCTTTTTTATAAAACTTAAATTTGAATCTTCTCAAAATTTGAATTTCCCAACGTTGTAGTTGGGTACTGTAAAAGTACTCTCAGGAGTTGCAAATTTTGCGACCAAATGCGACTGCTTAATTGTTTTTAGTTTCCGAGATGTGACATTTCTTAGTTCATTTTTTTTTCACAGAAATTATTTAAAACTTCACAAATTTTTATGGTTTTTCAAAAATTGAATTGAAAAAACTTGAATAAAAAACCTTACAAGGTTTGAACTTATGAAGTCTGTAATTTGGTTCTGTCAGAGTACACTCAAAGGATGCAGATTTTATTTCCAATATATGTGGTTTTTATTAGTTGTTAAAAATTCGAAGCGCAGGAGGTGTGTTACACGCTAGTGCTAATTTAAATGTTTTAGTTCATAGCGACTGACGAAGAGTTATTTTATCTAAAAACTACCAGCTCAAATTTTTTATTAGAAAATTAAATTTACGGAAGAGTTTTACGCAGGCATTTCGTTTCAGGTGAAGTGAGCAAATTCATCGCCAAGTCCCAGAAAGACACCAATGTCCAAATAGACGGAGAAGTTCCAGTCCCGACCGGAACTACCAGCCTCCAGTTCACATTTTCTGGCCTGATACCCAGCAACTGCTACACTCTCGAGGTTTCCTACCTTTACGTTTAGTTTGTCTGGAATGCGAAAAGAACCTCCTCCCTAGACAAGTTTGCTGCTATTCATTAGAATACGAAAGTGCAAAAGTAATCACAAAAGTTACGAAAACAAAACTTTTAATCGATTTTCAAATCATTTAGTTTTTAAATGTTACAAGGTATCTTTGTTGTATTTACTCAAAGAAATTCTGGTGTTATGACCTGAACTGAAAAGAAATCAAAAGTCAAGCGGCGAAAAAGTAAATTTGAGCCTGAACTAATTTTAAGACTTTTCCTGAAAAAAATCACCACGACTGAAATCACCTAGGGTTAATTGGTCTGAAAAAACTGGCCGCTATTTGCAATGTTCTGTTTTTAAAATGAATAGATTTTTGGTTGATACACCGTGAGGGAATGGTCTAAATCAGGGACGCTTGACCTAAGACTTAACGTTTTTCTACGTCTGCCAATCAATTACGCGTTATTTGCATTACGTTGGTCTGCTAAGACTCAGTTTCCACTTTTTACTATAAAAATTAATCTACAAAAAAAACTGCCCCCCTTAACTTTTGTTCAAAAAATATATATTAACTCGGAGTATAATACCGCCGAGTTAGTATTTTTTTGAACTTAAGGTACGGGGGCCAGTTTTTTTGCAGATTAGTTTTTTTATCATAAAAAGATAAAACTGAGTATTAGCAGACCAACGTAATGCAAATAACGCGTAATTGGTTGACAGACTTAGGAAAACGCTCAGTCATAGGTCCAGCGTCCCTAATTGAGACCATTATCTCACGGTTTATCTACCAAAAATCTATTCATTTCACTGGCAGAACATTCTAAATAGCTGCCGCTTTTATCAGAACAATTAAATTTATCTTAGTTTGAGCAGACAATTTAGCACTTTTTTCAAGCCTTATGTGCGAGTGCCGTGTTTTAAGAGTGTATCAACGTAGTCGTGATGATTTTTTTTAGGGAAAAACTTAAAATTAGTTCAGGCTCACATTTTACTTTTTTGCGGTTTGACTCTTGATTGCTTTTTCAGTTCAGTTCTTTTCCTTTGTTAAAAGGAAGGCCAACACCACTATCGAGGAGCAAAAGTGTATAGTTCACGAAAATATTATCGACTTCTAGTTTCGAATATGGTAATTAATTATCAGATTTTCCAGTGAAATAGAATTGAATAATTGATCCAGTTTATTGTTCCGACTTTCGATACGAAAGTAACGGAATATTTGTGCTCGGTGTGAGTTTTTTCTTCAAATCAATTTCGACTTCTTAACTAGCCATTTTTGACAGAATTTTTTCAAATCATTCAAAAGGTTTTGTTGTCCTGAGCTTAAATTTGAAAAGATATCTCACCTGTGGTCATTTTCATAAAGTTATGGGGGTTTAAAGATTGCCATTTTGGCCAATTTGGGACAATTAACGCTCGATATATTTCGCGCTATTAACGCGTAAGCGAGATTTAATCCGTCTTAGAAATCGTTCCAAATTGGTTGAAAGAAACTATTTGCCATAATTGATTTGTTACAATAAGCGAAATCTATCTCTTTACATATCTCTAAACGCTTTTTTTCGACCTATAATTACTACAATTTTCCAAATACGATTATAACCCTTGCGATGAGCAAGGTTAATGCAATCGGGTATGATATTTTTTTTCCCATATATAACTTTGCTCACAGAATAGTCAAAATTAGAAATGATTAATAATGAATTCAAGTTTTATTGACTTTCTGTTACTTGGTCTGGTGGTAACGAATTCGCCTAGGACGGCAAAAGTCCAAGGTTCGAATCTGACAGGACCTGTTTTTTTCGAACGAAACTTGCGTTTCAAAAAAATATCGGCTTATTATTTTTTTGCTTAAGTTTTATCGGCTTAGTTGCTGCATCGTATTATTGTTTTTTTGGCAACCTTTTTTTTCTTTTTTTTTCGTTTTTCCGGCTTGCTAGGTTTTGGCCTATGCTTAATCGGCCTAATGGCTTTGTATTGAGTCTTTCAACTAGCGAAAAAATTTGCTCGCTTTAGATCGCCTAAATTAACAAAATCGTAACAGGAGTTGTTGTTCAAGTTTTGATGGCAACATTTTTTTCGGCTTGATAGGTTTCGGCTTTTGTTTTACCGGCCTAATGCTCTCATATTGCGTCTTTGGACGAGCGAAAAATTTTCAGCGTGTGTGTGTGTGTGTTTTGAGGGTGAAGGGGATTTAATAATTTTTTAATCGTTTCTGATTTTTTCGAGTATTTTTTCGGCTTAACGGTCCCATTTTGTTTCATTTGACGATCAATTAATTTTGTGCGTGTGTTTGGAGGTTGAAGGTGAATTGTTAATTGTTTGTGGTTAACTTGTGTTTTGAGGATGAGGGTGAACTGTTAAGGTGTGACCGGCTGCGGCAAAATGGATGACATCTCCCCCCCCCCCCCCCCCCCCGGGACGGGGGCTAATAATAATAATATGGTGAACTGTTAAGTTCTAAGTCTTGCTGAATTTTTTTCGGCATGAAGGGTTTCTGATAAGTATTTTCGGCTTTGTTACCACTTGGGATTTTTTTCGAAGCTATTTCACATTCTATTGTCTTGGCTTGTTTTTGTTTCAAAGCTAGCCTGATTCATTTTGATAGATCTGATTTTTTGATATTTTGGATTTTTTTCTCGATTTTTTCCGACTTAGCGGCTTTCTGGTTTTATATCGCAAGTGGTGCGAAGCGCACCTACACCTCTGTGTACAAAATTTATTTTCTAGGTCCAACCGGTGACTGATTGTAACACAACAGACATGGATTTGACAGCTACAATTGCAAACTACACCGGAGAGCCAATCACCATCTCGGCCTGCACAGGTAAGACAGAAACCCACACTTATAATTTAGAGAATAACGAGTGTTCTGAAGATAGGGCAGAGCCAACATAGGAAATGAGAATTATCAAAAAGTCGTCGATAGATACAGAAAACATCCTAAAAATAAGCGAAAGTCGCCGCAAAATAGCTTGAATGACCAGCTTCAAACTTGAATGATGGAACTGAAGCTAATGGCGTTCTAAATGCACTGCGTCATTTGATTTTCCAGGTTAAAAAAGTGCAGAACTGCGAGAGAACTTGCCGTGAAAAAAGTTTTGCTCATTATTTGAAACCGAAGTTAATTGGTCTTTTACTGCAGTTTCGGATGTTAGTAAGATATAAATTATAAAAGTCCAAAAAGCATAATTTTAAATACATTTTATCGTTACTGGATCAACCCTAAAAAAAGAGTGGTTGTAAAATAGCCTGGAACTGCCTCCACTGGTGTTATGATCACTAAATTTTTCAGAACCGGAGGCGCCTGGCATAATTGTGAACCACGGACCCCTTGGGGAGATGTACATTGAGTTCAACTCAACAGACACCGACTTCACATACCATTTATGGAGATCCACCAACAACGTCTCCAACCCAGAGTACAAACTGGACGTTTCAGGTATAAGTGAATAGAATCTATTTTTTCTCCAAATAATCAGTTTACTACATATAATCAGTTTACTCAATTTTCTATACAAAATCAATGAAAATCGTTTATATCCTGCAAAAGTGTTTACTTTGCTATTAGAAATTTAAGCAAAAGCCGAAAAATTGCGTTAGTTTTGGAAAAGTTGTATCTAAATTTTTGAAATCTGGACACTTTTCCATCACACCACTGGAAAATTATTATCCAAAATTAGCACTATAAAGAGATGAAAAATTGATAACTATGTTTTATAATTAGTTTACTTGATAATTTTGAAAATGAGTTGAAAATACTTGATTATAATTGGTCAAACATGGATTTCCTTGCTTCGAAAAATCGTAAAATAATTATATATTTTAAATCAAATATAATGGATTTTTTTTCCAAATATAACAGAGTTATACTATAAAAATCCAATATAAAATAGATTAATATCCATGGAATTCCAATACGGGTTGTAATTACTCAAACGAGCTTGAGAGTATTATGTCATAATACGAGTCCAATTTTTCCCATATGACTCGCAATTAAAATTGCTAATTTTGGTGGTTATAGGCTGCATAGTATTGGCAGTTTAATAGCGTGTATTCTCCGTTTTATGACTGGCTAGTGTATCGGCTCTGTAAACTTCAGTGGAACAGTTCCACAGGACAGGAAGCTTAATGGCTCTAGTGAGGCCTTTGATTCAATTCCCGTCCAGGGCTATTCGTTTCAAAAGTCATCAATCCTTGTATTTTCTTGCCCTCGTTCCCTGTTTCATCTTCTAAAAGAAATTTCTTGTCGTTTGTGTTGGCGAAGTGCATATTCTGTGCAAAGGCCTTAATACTATGGTGGTATAGTCTACAGGTACCAAGCTTGGCCGAGAAGCGTCAGGACTCGACGCGTAACTGTTGAAAACAATTATTGTCTACGAAATAACACTAAGTTTTAAATGACCGAAGATATTCAAGTCCAAAAACAGCAGTGTTACAGCACTGAATTAGTTCTGTTACAGTACTGCGAAATTTATCTCCGGTTTCATCTCTGATCTGAGTTAAAAGACACAGTAAAGGGTCTGATACATTACGATACTTTTCTCCGAAATGTTATTGAAGCAGTACTGAGTTGGACTGCGAGACCATTTCGGGCTTCCATGAATGATCATTGCAGCGAATTATTTGCGAGCTTATGTTATTGAAGAGAACGTTCAAGTTTTCACAAGTAGTTTCCCTTTTTCGTGTTGCTTGTTACGCAATTTGTCGGTATAAGAAATATGACCAAATAAATGCGCGCTTGCAGTCGTACAATTGCTGATTGCTGTGTTTTAGGGGTGGACAACGGAGTCTTCATCGATACCGACCAAATTGTGGGGGGATACGCTTACTGCTACAGAGGTGCTGTCGAAAAACTGGGAGAGATATCAGCCGTTTCTGACATTGTAAGTAATATTAATAATAATAACAAGGATAACCGGTTACTGTGCAAGGAATCTTAGCAAAAAAGTAGAGCTTAGGCCTTTTCGTCAGTCATGTAAGATATGCAACTTGGAAAACAATTTTTGAAGACAAATAACAAGAAAAACAAAAAAATTTAAAAAAATTTCCTTGAAGTTTTTGATTTCTAAGATGAAGCCAAAAACTCCAAAAACTATCTTCTTCATAAGAGTAAAACTAAATTTTCAAGGCTCAAATTAAGCATAAATAAGCTAATGTAAGCATGCTCACTCGCTCGAAATTAGACGAAAACTTAGTAAAATTTTTGAATCGTGAATGAAAGGGCTTTAATATGCTATATCACTCAACACTGTCCGATGATTATTTGTGGTAGCTGATTTTGGGTGGAGTACAAAAAGTAAAAAAAAACTGAAACACACCCGAATACAAAGTTCCTCCCATATCCAATGGTCGGAACAATAATCTGGTTTCAAGCAACTCTATTTTTTTCGGTTTGTGATCTGATAGAAACTTTGGCTCGATGAGAATGGTTGTCAAATTTTTTTTATAGTTTAGCGATTTTCTAATGTTTATATTAATAAACGATCAGCGATAACTTCGTAAGTTCAAATTAAACTAAAAACTTGTACGGTTTGGTTTCCTTGATGAGAGCTAAATATATAGGACGAACCGTAGATGTTTTTCAAGGCGTCATAGATTTAAACATGGGCGGATCTAGCATTTTTTTTAAGTGGGAAGGAGTTTCAAAAAAATTCAACAATTTTGTCGATTTTTTTAGGTTGACCAATACGATTTTTTGAGCTATCCCAGTTCACTAAAAAGAACGTATTTTGACGACATTTTCAGAGCCGCAGGCAAATATTTAAAGAACAGGTCAAAAAAGGTACTTTTTAGTAATATTTGACAAAAAAATTGTGTTTTTTTTGCCGCGCGCTGCCCCTTAAAAATTAGTATGTTTTGGCGCGAAAGTCAGTCGCAATCATTCATACAAAGATTTCGTATAATAACACTAAATGGGGGACCGGATCCTTTGGTTCGACAGGGAGTCTAATCCCTGAGAGAAAAGCCCCCCCCCCCTGAATCTGTCCCCGAACTTAGCCAAATAGCTGCAAGACTTGCAAGACGTTCGTTAAACCGTAAATGTCAATGGCCCCGAGGTCGATAATATGACTAAAAGTCAAGATTCGCTTATAACTTTTTCATGTTTACGCAAGTCAACGCCGGGGTTATAATAGGGGAGGGGTTTACTTTTTTCGAACTTAATGCGCACAAATTCATGCTAAACTTTTGGGCTTAATTTCATTGGGCGAGCGATTTATTCTATCTTTTTATAAGAGGGTTGGTATTTCTTTTATGTTGTGTGAAAACTCTGTAATGCAGCTTGGACAGATGGCACAGTTTTTTGGTATGATTTTTGATTTATTTTTAAGTACACTTCGAGCTTTCTCACAAATTTGTTATTTTGCGGTTTGACTTTAGTTCCGACTTCCATATTTGTTTTTGCTCAGTTTGATTTTTTCGCCGTTTGATTTTTTATGATTTTTTTAAATTTTCAATTCAATTTAATTTATGAATTACTCTACTCAATAGCAAACAGAAATGGTGCGTAAAAATATGAATGACATGTAGTTTCGAATACTGTTTTAATTTTCAGACTTTTCAGTGGATTGAAAAGTATACCTACTCATCCACTTTTTAAGAATCAATGAACGCAGTGCGGACTCTTATATAGGTTTTTGTGACTTTTTTTGTTTTTTTTTTCTTGAAAAAGTCTTAAAATGCTATAATAACTACAAATGTGCATTCATACATATCATTGCATTTTGAAATATTTGCTTTTTTCCACTTCAATTTAAGTTGATCTGCTAAAAGTTAAGTATATTGCGCTCTTCAACTACGAATGGGGAAATGGCTCGGAAAAACGTGAACGACTTCTAGTTTCAAACTATTTACTCAAGCAGAGCTTGTGTGATATTACGAACTCACTTTTTTCCAACCTAAGTAGCTAATATTAGTGCTCTTTTTGAGAGTGCTTTTTTATTGCAGTATATGCATAAGATCAATAACCAGCGATTAAGTACAGCAAATGCTAAGGATATTAGCACATACTTTTGTATTGCAAATAGCACTTTAGCTTCAAGGTGTTATGGTTCTGTAGCGTAGAGGTAGGGAAAGAGACCAGCAGCAAAATAAGAGGATTCGAACCTCAGCAGGGTTGCATTTTTTTAATGAACTTTTTCGTATACTAGTTAAAATGTGTCAGCTCTATAAATTGAGGCATGTTAGTGGTAAATTTCTTTTTAAATTGACTGGTACTGCTAATGCGTCATAATTGGCTTGCGTCACTTAGCAAATATGTAGACTCATAATTAGCGTGCGTCACTTAAGAAATTTTGTAGACTCAAATTTTTATTCATTCAGTTTTTCCCAGTAGCGTTGTCGGTCATATTTTTGCCTGTGTATGCTAAATGCAACTTCGCCTCTGTGTCAGACTTCTATTTTAATTTCTAGGTTCCCCAGCGGAGTCATAACTGTACCTTTTGATCCAGATTTTTCAATTGGAGTTAGTTTTATCAAAATAGTGTCAATCATAAGTTGTTCCAGAAATTCAAAGAGCTTCTAGAGCTTTTATCAAAATAGTGTCAATCATAAGTTGTTCTAGAAATTCAAAGGCCATCTATTTATTTATTTTAAATTCGAAAAGTGAGGTTTTTCTATAAAATAAGTCAGTTTTTTTGTTTACTTGCGTTCATTGACTTTTTTCAAGTGTGTTTGTTTCGGTTATGTTTTTAAATATAGGATGAGGCGACTCTTCAGATTCTTGAACCTCAAATAGTTTTCACGTGCTACTTTTTTCTGTGAATTTCAAATTTAAAAACTTAAATTTCGCTGTTTTTTTGAGCTCTGACTTTTTTCCAAATGTCTGCTGCCAATGTTCATAATCTCCCATTGGACGACGGATGGTTTTTGGAGTTTGGAGAAATTAGATTTTTTTGCAGTTTCGTCTGGCTTGTTTCATAAGCGAGTTTTTGGCATTTGATATCGGTTTGTTTTTTGTCAGTTAATTTATCTTTTTATTCTTTAAAAGCCGCGTTTTTTTATCGCAAGGGCGTTTCGGCAACGTTTTGTTGAAAATAGAGTTACTGTTCTCCTGATGTAGTTTTTGATCTTCTTTGACGTTAAAAAATATCATTAAGTGTTGTTGCGTATTTCAATCCAATAATATATACTCAATTGACAAATGTTTTCTTTAAAAAATTTGTTCTAGAAACAATTACAATTTCGTGAAGTCGCATTGTGTCTGTTTAGTAAACTTTTGTTATAACTGATTTTTTCCTCTGATACTTTGCGCACCCAGAACCTTCAAAGACCCTACTTTGGTTTTAAAAAATCGAAAAATACCAAAATTGCCGTTATTTGAGGATACAGAATAACAACCGCGTTTTTTTGCTTTTGAGTTAGGACCGAAGTGTAACTCATAGAGTAATTTCGGATAGGGTACACCGTCTGCTCGTCACGCTATCTTATTTTCGGCCGGATAGATTCGTGCAACTTCTTAGTCTAATACCGATCCTAATCTTACTCTTATACTATCTAGTCTCAGGTTGTTTAACTAGTCTCTGCTAGGCTCAATAGATCTAGGGTATACTGGTTTATTGCGGCTGCTGAAGTGCTCGGGAGAGTCCAACTAATTTCTAAGTTAAATTCAAATCTCTCTGGTGCTGAAATTACAAGTAACTTCAGCACTTACAAATAAGTGGGTTGTTAGTTAGATGGATCATGATTGGTTAATATTAAATACTTTACATTGGTAAAACATTTAATTTATCCAATCATAAAATATAGTTTAGATCAGGTTCCACCCATCCGGGTTTTACAGAGTTTTTTAGAACAGTTCTTCTGTAATTCAAGGATGGATGATGGACGTTGGTATTTGGCGAACATCATATTTCTTTGTTTCCTTTTTGTTTAGGAAGTTCCAGGAAACTGGAGTTAGAGACATAAGACGTTGTGTTCTTCTTGTGACAACGACTGAGTCTCTGCAACAAAACCAATTCTGATTTCAGAATGGTTGGCTATGTCAGGTTTTTCTGTTCTTCGGGGAGAACTTCTTTTGTGTCTGATCTAGCTTGGGAATGGCGTGGAGATTGTGCGTGGAGGGGATGCCTGGTTACTCGGATCTGTACGTACACTTGGGTCATCGAGGTGGTCATTGGTCTAGTTCAATGAAGTCCTTTTCTGCGAGGTCAAGTCGTACTCTAAATCCTTTGAGTTGTGATTGTGAGCGGCATATCGATTGTAGTTGGTCATTCTCTCTCGAGTGTAGTGAGGTCGTCTTGTCTTTTGATGTTCGTCCTTGGTGTTGTATTCTGATCTATATATTGCATCATGTGATTTTACATTTTATAAAACTTTTATTAGTTTAATATTTTTTAATGATGATTTTAGTTAGTTGTTTTCACAAAAGCTTTTTGTTTTAGTTCGGTTATTTTGAAGAGTTACTCACCCTTGAGTAGCTCTTATTAAAAATAAAGGTGTGGTCACAAAGCGTGGATGTAGCGCGGTGGGTTAGGCCGGCTATAGAGCATGCTCAGGACGTCCTTCCTGGTGGGTTAGGCCAGGTGTGGGAGTATGATTTCATGCGGTTTTTGTGAGGGGTCCTGTTATGTGACAACGTTTTATGTTGGGTTTGTTGTGGTTTTTCTTATGTTTCGTTGGTTGTGTCCTTTTTTCAAAAATCAAATTGTTTGTGGTATGGGTTTGTCTTTCGACTTTTTTGTGTTTTATTATTTCTTTCTAAGACTTTGTAATAGTCTTCAAAAGAATAAATTATCCAGTTTTAAACTGGGTTAATCCGGTTTGGGTACCGTTGGTTTCCTTTTCTTAGTCATGCTGTTATTCTATGATTTGTGGTATTTAGTAAGCTGCGTTGGTTAGTTTTGTTTAGTATATGATTCCTTTCCAACCGGGTTAAAGGAAAGTT